TCAATATTAACTAAACTATTGATGACTGATGGTTCTTCACGACTCTGCAGCAGCTTTGTAAACCAATCTGTGAAGCCTTCGGTATTCATATCTTTTTTTTATAGGGGAGGGGGCAAACGAGCATGCGTTGCTGACCTTTTAAAAAGGAGTAGGCTCTTTTCTTGAAGGTCCCTAAGTCGTATCGGTCAGGAAAAATCAATGATGGTAATCGATTCCACAAGGAAGTTGTGCGAGGAAGAAAAGATCTTCTAAATCGCACAGTGGTGGACCGCCAATCATCCAGATGGTGTGGATGGTATCGGGAGTTCTGCCGCGATGTGCGTTCGTGAAATTTGACGGCTGGGATTAATCCGAACAATTCCTCAGAGCACTCCCCGTGATAAATGCGAAAGAAAATGCAAAGGGATGCAACATCTCTTCGCAGTGCCAATGAATCGAGCCGATCGGAAAGTACTCGATCGTCGACGATTCGAGCCGCTCTGTGCTGGATGCGGTCAAGTGGAAGGAGCTGGCACTGGGGAGCCTCTGCCCAGAGATGGGAACAGTATTCCATGTGAGGCCGAACCTGCGCCTTGTAAAGTTGCAGGCGGTGTGCCGGCATGAAATACTGTCCCGCTCTGCTGAGCACGCCAAGCTTTTTAGAGGCCAATTTGGCCTTCTCTTCCAAGTGACAACGAAACTGCACGTCACTCGATATGTCGACTTCGAAAATTCCGATTCTAGCTGAGGCAAGAAGGGGAGTGCCTTGAAACTGAGGAGATACGACAAAGGGGTTCTTTTTAGCGGTAAACGAGCAAACTTGTGTCTTCTGAGGATTAAACTGGACTAGATTTAGTCGCCCCCAATCCGAGACTTTGTTTAGCATAGACTCGACTTCAGACACAAGCTTGTTCCGGTACTCGGCGACGTTTTCTCGAGAAATATTAGCACGGCCGGTGTATAAAGCATCACCAGTGCTGTCATCCGCATAGCAATGAATGTTACCAGTTAGCAACATATCGTTGATATGCAGAAGAAACAGCATATCTGATTGGTAGTCCTCGTTCTGAGACTTCACAGCACGGAATACCCATCTGGCTTCGGGTATAAAACCATATTTTGCGCAGCCTGCATGACAAATTGAAACAACATAATTAAATTAATATCATATTTTGTATGAATTTTTTTTATAGGATCGGGTGACAAACGAGCACACAGTCCACCTGATGGTAAGTGGTTACTGCGACCCATAGACATCTACATCTATCCTCAATAAAGACTCAAGATGCAGATGCGTTGTCACCCGTGAGGACTAAGATGGAATGCCTCTTTGCCAGTAAAAAGGGTCTCCGGTTCTCTACACTCACCATACGAAACAGCAGCGTTAAGCTGCTATTTTACGGTGGTTTTCTGTGAGAGCGTGGTCCTTCCCCGGTTGAGCCGACCCATTCGCGCTACAACCATAATATAGCTGCAGCATGGCTCTATCACGTAGAAATTATTATTAAGTCGTATTTCTTATATAAAAGATGACAGAATATTTACCAATTAGTCTGCCCCCCTTTCCCGTTTTTGTGTTTAAGCCGCCTTGTCCATCCTTGTCTAGCCAAATTCGTTTGTGGCTGTGATTTTGGTTCACCCAAGTCTCATCAAAATTCTTGGTCGAGTGTCTTCACTATCTCTCAAGGTCTTGTGTTTGTTTTCTCAGGAATTGTAGCCGCGCACAAACGATGTCAGTCCTTTCTATTAATTGTTTACGACCATCTGGAGCTTGCGTGTACTTGTACCCAAGTTCTATGAGTATTTTACGCATAGAAGAAATAGAACACTGGAATCCGTCAATTCTTTCTGTTGCTGTACTCAAAATTTTAGACGTGGAAGGATGTTCACCGTCGCGATAAAACGATGACACTATTTGTTTAATTATACTTTTGTCAAAGTCGTCTAACGCAGTTACTGTACAAGGTATCAACCTTCTATCGAGACGCTTTCTCGCGAAGAGCTAACTTCTCCCTTTATACACTCTTTTTTTTTTAAATTTTGTCGACCGCTCTAACACTCACACCACATATCGCCGCAACAAGTTCACGAGAACGGCAGAAATTAACACTGTAACTTTTCGGGATCTATTTTCATTTAAGTGAAAAATGTTAAAACATTGTTGATAACAACACGTGCTTGTGCTGGTATATTGGTGCCAACAGGCAAAATATTATTTTGAAAAAATTCTGCCGTTTTGGTACAAAACAAAGCAGTAGCCATGTGTCACTAAAGAAATTCAGAAAGCGAATGCGGGGGTAATAATGGAAAACAAATGACTCATAACATAATGTCGCACCATCCTTTGTATACCGCACCGCCGCCGTGAACTTGCCTTCGATGATTCTATTGTTGTTATCGATAATGGCGTTGCGCCATTATCGATAACAACAATAGAATTTATCGGTAGATAGAGAATGCTGACCGCCCTAGCCGGGCTGAGGCCGAGCTATAACTTATGAGCCCAACTGCACGGACAAAATAATTTTACTATAGTAGTACTCTTTTTGCGTCTAGGAGTTCCTCTGCTTAGGTACGACCACGGAGCAAATACAAAAAGGAGATGGCATAAGCAACTGTGCACTATGATCCTGACGTCATCACAGTGGGCGTGAAATTACTTAGTATACTGTCAACTGTCAGCGTTCGTCCTGTGCGGTTATGTGTCGAAAATAGCAAATCGCTTTATTTTCGTAGTATTAAGAAGAAAAGGATGAAATGTTGTGTTTTATCGTGCAATAACTACTCAAATAGATGCTCTGATGCTATGGATAGCATCACATTTCATTTGTAAGTAATTTTATACCTAATTTATTAAAAAGGTTCTAGAGAAATCTCTGCGTCGGCTTTCAAATTTAATTTAATATATTCGACACTAGATGGCGACACTTTGTGTCATGGGAACTAAAAATATAAACTTTCGTAGAAATCAGTATTGTTAAATAATCATACGAAGATGTTGAAATTCGTTTTGCATTCAGTCCTAAAGAATTTTTAATAGCCAAAATATAATTTTTATAGTTTTTATAATCATTTTGTGAACAGGCCGCCATCTATCGTCAAGGTAGCTAAACTACATTCCATAATCGACATGGAACGATGCGAGTAGTTTTACTATTTATCGGTAGATGGAAAATAGAAGTGGACTTAACATCCCCTTAACATCACCCCGCAAATTGTCACGCGTTGCTACATAATGAAATCTAATTACAACACCTCCTCTTTGTATTTGCTCCGTGGGTACCACTCTCTTGCCTATTTCTATTCCGGTCAGAAGAGTATAGAGAGATAGGCTGTGAGGCATTCCGTCTTAGTCCGCAGAGGTGAGAACTTATCTGTAGCTGTCTTGGCTTGAAGTTGACTGCAGGTTTCTATAGACTGCAGTAGCCACTTACCATTAGGTGGACTGTAAGATCGATTATTACTTCAGTGTTAAAAAAATACTTTTTCTACTTACCCCAAGGGTCGATTAGCATAGATCCCACAAGGTATTGTTGCGCGTCACTATTTATGTCTTGTACATGGCAACACCAGTTACCCCTAGCGCCCTCTAGTGTCGAGTAGCAGAACTAGGAGAGTCAAGATCCTTCTAGAAATTTTGGTACCGATATGTACTCGAACATTCTAGATGTCGCTATATTAGAAGGTTCTGGAAACTATCTGAGGCCCTATATAAGGCTGGTATAGACCACGACCGGGAGAGTATTGAATTGGCGATACAAGAGAATACTTCGAAGCGAAATAACTGCGAACTAAAGTGATTGTGTTTTATTGTTAGTGTGGTTTTAGATTGTAATTAGTGTTCTGTAATTAAAGTGTCAATTTTGGTAATTCAATCGGCAGTTTTTAATTGTCTCGAACCCCAAGCTCGTAACAGTATTAAGACACCATCAAGAGACGGCTCCATAGCGCAGTGACTTATCATTGGGGCTTAGGGCCGCGGGATCAAATCCCGCACGGTACAAGTATTAGGCTAGTGTTACGGCCCTCAGCTGCCACGACAAAAGTCGACTGGGCTAGGGCCCATAGTAGCCCTCTCGACGAGCAACCAGAGGGTTCGGGCCTATGGATAATAATTATGGCTGATAAGCAAACACAAACTTACCGAGTTCCGGGGGTAGTGTCGACCACAAGGCGCAGTCAGGTGGTAAGTAAGGTGTATGTAAGTAGTGTACGAAAGTGTGTATAAATGTAACCTGACGTCCCCGATGTAATCTGAAAGCAGACCCACAGGCGCTGCTTTTCTCCACAATGTGCGATCCCTCCAGGGGCGTTTCCCAATAGAGACTTTCTGCTTTTATTTCACTATACTAGTTTATGAACTTTATTGTACATTTAATTAACTTCAAATTTAACTAAATCAACAAAAATTCCTACGTACGATATTAAAATACTACACAAGCAACTCGTCGATGCAAATTAATGGCAATCGAAGTTAAATTAATCACACAAAATTCAAGGTAGCCTCGTTGTCACGTAAAACGCACGAAATCAGAGGCTGTTCCGAGCGTAAATTTTAGACCGTCAAACTGACACGGCGGTCGCTAACAATTAACTCGTCAGGCGACCGAGCGGTAAGCCGAGAGACCCGCCCGGGAGAGGGGGCCGGCGGTGACCTTTAAATTCCTTCGGAAGGACACGCCGAGGCGCGCGTCTTGAATGCAAGTTTTTAAAAATGTTAATATTTGGCCTAAACAGCTAGCAACGCACCTGTAATTCCCCTGGTGTTGTGGGAAGTCCCAGTTGTGCATGGGCGGTGGTAGTCCCTTACCATCAGGTGAGCCGTATGCTTATTTGTCCCCTCCTATAAAAAAAAAGTATTTGTATGGCTTACCAAAAATTATTCCGGGCCTGAATATTTGTCGTTGTGCAATTTATGTATGCAAACTGTTTCCACGATATAGGAGAAAATCCTAGTGGGAGGTAAAAGACTACGCGTAGAACTGTCTCATATAGAATAGATAAATATTCTTCCCTGACAGGTGTGCAGTGGAAGCCGGCTTCACTTTCACGGAGAAGGGTCCCGTGTCTGAGGAGGAACTGGTGGCGATGAGGCGCTGCTCGCCGCTTGTGCACGTGCACCGAGTGAAGGCGCCCACGGCTCTCATGCTGGGCTCCGGAGACAAACGCGTCCCTCATTACCAAGGTCTGGAGTACAGCAGACGGCTGAAGGCTAACGGAGTGCCTACGAGGTAAGAACCATTTTTAGCGACAAATTAACGAGTACTCATTCCACCTGATAGTAAGTAGATGATTTAGCTTATAGACATTACATTTATCTTCGATTAAGAATCAAAATACAGATGCATTGTCATCCCTGAGGAACAAGATGGAATGCCTCGTTCCAGTAAAAAGGGTGACATAATCCTTAACAATAATTTGTTTAAAAACCTCTGCAATAGTTGATGCATGACATTGCAAAGTTTTCGAGAGATTTCAACGGTTGCATGAGCCAACACTCAAGGCACCGTAGCTGACACAATAATTTGTGGTTCACATCACTATCGGAGCATTTGTTTCATTCATGTTTCCAATTGCAAAGCCCCTACGGAGCGTCACTTGATTATATCGTATAAGTTAAATATAATATTCTTGTGACATGCAAATTATAATAAATTAATAAACAAATTGTTTCCACTGATAGTTCACACGTGAGACATTTATTACCCAAAACCGCACCACTTTTACGTATTAAATCCACTTCAAACCATTATTTAAACAATAATACAGGAACGGCAATTCACCGGCGGCGGCCAAGTTCCCGCCAAAACTTTAAAAAAATTGTAATTAATTATTAACATTATTTTTACTCCACAGAATATACATGTACGAAGACAACCACTCGCTGTCCTCACTGCCCGCTGAAATGGATAACCTGATCAACAGCGTGGATTGGTTCCTCACCCACTTGTAGCATAAAATGTCTACAGTTTTTTTAAACTTGTATTATATACGTTTGGAAATAAAGTTTATGATCAATAAATAAAGTTGACTTTTAAGTCAAATCTGTAGTTTTAGAACCTATGCCTTGTAGGTATACGTCCTTGTACTATTATTTATTCTGTGTTAGTAGTTCGGGGGTCATTGTAGAAGCGTGCTCGTCGCGACCCCTGCCAGCCCTTTTCAGGGCTGCAATTCTACTCAGCTGCGCACCCATGTCAACGAGGGTTAGGGCGTCCCCCCAAGGCGACGCACACCAGCTCGTCCCCGTTGGTGTGGAATGCAGCGCACAAAGCGGCGATGGGGACCGCCACCCGTCACGCACAGCCCGACACGGCGGAAGGTGGAGGACGGAGTGCAGAGTTGGCACGTGGAATGTTAGAGGAGGCATGAGAGATAAGACGAATGAGTTGATCGAAATAATGAAAGAAAGAGAATTAGATGTCGTGTGTATGTCGGAGACCAAACGGAAGGGCAGTGGTACTGAAGAGCTCCCTGGCGGGGCGTTAGCTCTATGGTCCGGAGTCCCGGAGAGCGAGAACGCCTGCCAGGGAGTGGGGGTGCTGCTGTCTTCTCGGTTGGTCGATGTTATGACTGAATATAAGTTTGTGAACTCAAGACTTCTCTGGGTTCGCTTTAAATTGGGACTGACGAAGTTATTCCTTTTGGCTGTTTATGCGCCGGTGGCTTCGTCGTCCAGGGCTGAGCTGGAGGAGTTTTGGGAGAATGTAAGAGAAGTTCTAGATTTGGCTAGGGGAAACGAAAGGATTGTTGTATGTGGTGATTTGAATGGATGGGTTGGTACCGCTCGACCAGGGTACGAGTCGGTACTTGGAAAGTTTGGCGATAAAAGGGTTAATGATGCTGGCAAGCTTATACTGGCGGTATGCAAGGAAAAGGGTCTTCTTGTGATAAACACTATGTTTAATCACAAGAAAATCCATATGTATACTAGAGAAAGAAAGAATGAGAGAAGTATGATCGATTTGTTCCTGGTGGATGACCGACTGCGAAAACAGGTTATGGATACGCGAGTGTTCAGGGGTGCTGACCTGGGAACGGATCACTATCTAGTGATTACTAGATTTAGGGGTCTGTTCGCGGGTTGGCGCTACCGGACGACAGTGACAGAACCACAGTCGGTCTGTCGCATCCGAAGCTGGAAGCTTCAGGAAGCGGATACTAGGGACAAATATCATGCGAGTGTAGCCGAAAAGCTTGACACCATCGATGGCAGAAACGAATGTGTAGAAAGAACATGGCAGAACCTTAGGGATGGAATGGTAAGTGCAGCGGAAGAAGTGTGTGGAACAATAAAAAGAGGCAGTAGTAAAAGAAGAGATGCATGGTGGAATGATGAAGTGAAAGAAGCTGTAAAGAAGAAGAAGAAAGCATGGTTATACTACTTGGCCTCTAGTAATGATAAGGATATGAGAGAGAAGATGAAAGAAAGATATAAGCTGCAGAAAGTTCACACGAAAGCATTGATTGAGGAAGTGCGTGAAAGGTGTAGAATGGAAGCGGATGAAAGGTTGTCGCACAACTTTAAGGAGAACTCCAAACTCTTTTGGAAAGAGGTTGGAAGGACCCGAAGTGGTGCGACGGCCTTAAGAATGAACAAAGTGCTTTCGAGAACTAATGACGTCCTCTCAGAAAAATCGGACGTCATGCAGCGATGGAGCGAATTTTATAGAGAAATGTATGCGTGTGATGATCTTAGTGAGGGATCCGGGGATGACGCCGTGACTGGCACGCCAGACCCGGACCTCGATGACACTGAGGTCATCAGTATGAAAGAGATTGAACGTGCGATTCGAAGTTTGAAATGTGGTAAGGCTGCGGGACTAGACAGAGTTACTGCTGAAATGGTCAAGTATGGTGGGCCTCGCGTCTGGGACAGCTTTCATCTGCTGTGCAATTTGTGCTGGCGGACGGGGGATGTCCCGGATGATTGGCGATCCGCAGTCATTGTGCCTTTATATAAAGGTAAAGGTTCACATTTTGACTGCGGGTGCTATCGGGCGATCAGCTTGACCAGTTTAGCAAGTAAAGTTTACTCGAAGGTTTTGACACGTAGGATGCAAGAGAAATCGGAAAGATTTCTATGGGAGGCACAATGCGGATTTAGACCTGGATGCACGGATCAAATGTTTTCTCTCCGCATGATCACGGAAAAGCTTCTGGCTGTTAACCAGAAGATTTTTTGTGCTTTTGTGGATCTTGAGAAAGCATTTGATAAGGTTGTAAGGAAGAAAATGTGGGAACTGTTGCCGGGGTATGGTGTGGATGGCCGATTGCTAAGGGCTGTGCAGTCTCTTTACTGTGACTGTAAAGCCTGTGTGCGGGTAGGGCATGACCTGTCACCCATGTTTAGCGTCCAAACGGGCGTAAAACAGGGTTATGTCATGTCTTCCTGGCTGTTCATACTGTATCTCGACAGCTGTTTACAAAAGCTGAAAGATAGCTGTTTGGGTGTGAAATTGGGTGACATAAAAGTAAATTGTCTGCTGTATGCTGATGATGCAGTGCTTATTGCACCATCAGAGGCAGAACTGCAGGCATTAGTCACGTGTATGAAAGAGGAATGTGAAATTAAAGGTCTCCGTTTGAATGCTAATAAAACTAAGGTTCTGGTATTTGAAAGGGACGAAGAGAGAACGAAGTGTGAAATATGGGTAAATCAGGAATGTCTAGAACAGGTAAATGAAATTGTATACTTGGGGAGTGCTTTTAGCCGGGATGGAAGATGTGATTTAGATGTGGACAGGCGTGTCGCTGCCGGGAACAAAGTCAATGGTGCCCTGACTTCGTTAGTCAAAAGGCAAGGCGTAGCGAAGAGTGCACGCCTTGCAATACATAACGCAGTGTTGGTACCGACTTTGTTATATGGCAGCGAAACCTGGGTATGCCAGAAGAAGCATAAAAGTAAGTTGAATGCAGTGGAGATGCGATCTCTTCGTAAAATGTGCGGCGTTACTATGGCCGACCGAAAGCGAAACGAAGAGATTCGCAATATGGCAGGTTTGAAAGATGACCTTATCACAAAAATTGATAAGGGCGTGCTTCGGTGGTTTGGGCACGTTGAGCGAATGAGTGAAGACCGAATGGTGAAGAAAATATATAGCGCGAAAGTTAATATTAAAAGGTGTCGAGGTAGACCGAGACTAACTTTCGAAGACCATGTGAGCAAATTGCTCGAAGAGGGTAGGGTCAAGAGTACTCGGATACCTAGACGTGCATGTATGAAGAAGATAATGAATCTGAAAGAAGCGAAAGAGATATGTAAGGATCGTGACACTTGGCGATCTGTTCTCTCTGGCTACCCCGTCAGGGATTGTGCGTGAAGATAAGTAAGTAAGTGTTAGTAGTTCGATCGATGTAGAAATGATCCAAACTTAAAAAGGCGTTAAAAGGGGAGAGTTTTGGTGTAAAACTGCCTATAATTCGCAGCCGAAATGTGGTTGGTAGCGTAACCATATCCATCCGCCGCTGAGGTCGGGGAAGTCTGGTGGTTCTGAATATTATTTTTTCCTAGCCCCATGTCATTCATTTAATTTTAATGGACTCGTGCGATCTTTTGCCCAGATAGAGTCCCGAAAAGAGTGCCAATGCAAATTTATGTTGCAGAAGTGAACGGCAGAGTCGGCAAGGGACGCCATAGACGAAAGTTTATCGACCAAATTGGCGATGTATTGAAGATGGCCCAGATAAAGAGTACCTTTAACCGACGAGCGCAAATATGCATATATGTAGGTATATGGATATAAAGGAGGCGAGAGAGATGCGTCAGGATCGTGCCAAATGAAAGTCCGCGGTCTCTGCCTACACCTTTGGGTTACAGGCGGGAGTGTTTATGTATGCACAAGCGCATGACGGTTTCTTCAAAGTTCAAGAGCACCTCTATCGAAGAGTAACTTACTATTGACGTGCATCGCTATGCTGCAGCTATATTACTGGTATTACTCGGTAGAGCCAGGCTGCAGCTATATTACTGGTATAGTTGTAGCACGAATGGGTCGGCTCGACCGGGGTAGGATCACGCTCTCACAGAATACTAGCGTATTTTTTTTATAGAATTAGGGTGCCAAACGAGTACACAGTCCACCTGATGGTAAGTTGTTGCTGTGGCCTATAGACATCTACATCTATCTTCGTTTGCGAATTAAAATGCAGATGCATTGTCAGCCGTGAGGACCAAGATAGAATGCCTCTTTTCCAGTAAAATAGGTCTCCGGTTCTCTACACTCACCATACGAAACACAGCAGCATTATGCTGCTATTTTACGCTGATATTCTGTGAGAGCGTGGTCCTTCCTCGGTCGAGCCGATGCGTTCGTGCTGCAACCAAAATATAGCTGCAGCATGGATCTACCACGTAAAGCATGGCTCTACTACGTAAAGCATGGCTCTACCACGTAAAGCATGGCTCTACCACGTAAAGCATGCCGCTGCCACATAAAGCATGGCTCTACCACGTAAAGCATGGCTCTACCACGTAAAGCATGGCTCTACCACGTAAAGCATGGCTCTACCACATAAAACACGGCTCTACCACGTAAAGCATGGCTCTACCACGTAAAGCATGTCTCTACCACGTAAAGCATGGCTCCACCACCTAAAGCATGGCTCCACCACGTAAAGCATGGCTCCACCACGTAAAGCATGGCTCCACCACGTAAAGCATGGCTCCACCACGTAAAGCATGGCTCCACCACGTAAAGCATGGCTCCACCACGTAAAGCATGGCTATACCACGTAAAAAATAGCAGCTTAACACTGCTGTATTTCGTATGATGAGTGTAGAGAACCGGTGACCCTTTTTACTGGAAACGAGGCATTCCATCTTAGTCCTCACGGATGACAACGCATCTGCAATTTAATTCGCAAACGAAGATAGATGTAGAAGTCTATGGGCCACAGCAACCACTTACCATCAGGTGGACTGTGTGCTTGTTTGTTACCGTTATCCTATAA